TCTTCCTATATCGCCGGGCGACGCTATCCTAATAATATCTCATTTAAATCTAGGTTAAACTATATATGCGGGGTTTTTCGGTTTTTTAATTGGGGTTGTTATCGGACCTTTTTCCAACTTGCTGCGCAGTCGGAAAGCCAGCTGGCTAGGCCAAAACGACCATCCCTTCCTGTGGGCTCAATCCAGCTCGGGATCATCAGCCACCAGTGCAACAAGGCAAGCCAAGTCAAAGCAACAGAAGCCCCTGCACGGCCCCCTAAGCGCAGGCAGACTGTCAGCAAAGTCAAGCCATCCTCAGTAACACCCACTTCTCACTTGGAACTAACCAGTGAGGCCAATGAGTCAACTTTCCAGGGCACCGGACGCTAGGCTGCTCAGTTGAACTTAATGCATGGGTGACCAAGGCTTCCGCTGCCCCGTCATTCTCAGTCTCCGCCCGTTCATCACAGAACACCAGCGCCAGTAAGGAGGTCTATTCACACCTTCACGCAGTTTTCGCAGCCCTTCACCCTGTCCATGTGATCCTGCCAAATCTCCGAGCCATGGCCGCCTCGTCGACTTGTCCTGCGTGCTGAACACCATCATCACGAGGCTCCACGTTTCGCACCAGCTAGCCAAGAACTCAAGCACCCGCGGCCGACTCAAATCCACCACAAGCATGTCCTTGCTGGCCACCGCATCACCATCCTTGGCACCCTCCTTCGCCTGGTCCGGTTCCTCCAGGTTCGTGCTATCCACTTTACTGAGATGGGATTTTTGCTCTTGCTGAAGATCTGAAACTGGTACGCCAGGCTTTCCCCGTCTCTGAGCTGGGCTTGCCATTCTTCTCTGCGCACCACTTGAACTCGGTCCGCACGGGGTATGATCTCAATGCGAGCTCGTTTTGTCGACACTGTCGACGGTGCATTCATTTCCACCTGAAACTCCCACTTGAAGGTTGCCGCAGTAAATGTCTGCCACCTCGCTTCCTCGTCCTCTGCCATGGCCGCCTCAGCTCGGGCCTCATCCTCATCCTCATCCCTCTTGTCGGCCTGATTGATTTCCTGCTGCGTCATGAGCCTCGCCACTCCGTCCGCCTGCCACGCCAGTCTTGGATGCTGAGGCACCTGCACACTTGAAGTTGCCACTTTGCCTCTGCTCTCTGAAATACGCAAGACTTCCATTTTGGATATATTCCTGGCTTATCTACTTTATTGAATATTGACCTGGGAAAATATTCAATGAGAACTGAATATATTTAAACAATCTTTCAAAACACTCTCTTGTACTCCGACTAAATCATCAATCAGATATTTGATTGGTGAAGTTTTCGCAATAGGAGACAGTTACGTATCGAGAAGGAAGGTGACAGTGATGACTCCTGCCTGATGCAAAAAGTGCCAGCGGTTGATCCTTTCGGTCAGAAGCTTGCCCTACTACAAGAAAGCTTGGAGAGAGATAGCGAGGTGGCAGCCAAACGCAAGGTCGCTCTACTGAAGACGCAGGTTGACAAGTTCATCCAAGACTGTACTGAGCCGAGTCAACGAGCTATGACCGAGCACGTGGGGAGGCTGACTGCCATGATGGTGACGTTCCTGCGTGTCCCTGAGCCTGTCTGTGAGCCTGGCTCCAACCAATCGCACCTCAGTTACCTGCAGCAGCAAGAATGTGTAGAGTGGGCTCACTGGGCGTGGAGAGTTGTCAAAAACTGGTTGTCGGTTTGGGGAGGTGGATGGAGAGGTGACTGCAACTCTCTCCGCGCAGGTGAGGTGGTGTATTTATAGAATCAACTCCTGCAAGCAGCGGATCTCTCTTTTTAACAGACGGGGATTCCACAAGCTCTGAGCCGGTATTTCCGGTCGGGTTCGGAACATAGAAAATACCAGATGGAACCTAGGTGCATTAAGCCTGCCAGGTTCAGGCTTTACAACTGGCAACCAAGAATGAAGCCAATTTGGTGTGGGTGGGTGGGCAAAGAGAAGTTTCCAACTCACCTGGTTTGAGCAAAACTTGCATACAAACAAATGTCATCAAGCTTGCTTCAACGAAGACAAGTTCAAACAGACAAAGCGTGTTAAAAACATTTGTGGCGCAAGTTTTGCTCAAAGTTTTTCGCTGCCGCACAGAAGACAAAACTAACGCACGCGATCGTGTCCGTCTCCTATTGCGAAAACTTCACCAATCAAATATCTGATTGATGATTTAGTCGGAGTACAAGCGAGTGTTTTGAAAGATTGTTTACATATATTCGGTTCTCATTGAATATTTTCCCAGGTCAATATTCAATAAAGTAGATAAGCCAGGAATATATCCAAAATGTGTTTATAGAATCAACTCCTGCAAGCAGCGGATCTCTCTTTTTAACAGACGGGGATTCCACAAGCTCTGCGCCGGTATTTCCCCCTGATTTGGGCAGCTTGCGGAATCAAGGGAGGTTCGAGAATCGCGAACTGACTGGCTCCCAGTTTGAGCGCAGCCTCGACCAGCCAGTTTTGGTCGTTGCAGGTGATCGCAACTGCACTGAGAGCTTCCATCACACCTTCTAGGTTGTTCCTAGAAGGAGCATCTCCAGGGTTCGAGAATGAAGCGACTCTCTCCAGCCAAATCATCGCCGGATAGGCCGTCTCAATCAAATGGAAGATCTTGACAAGAGATCGCATGGACGGTGAATCCGAAGTTCCTTTGATGAGACTCATTCTGGCCGCTTCGTTATCGATCCAAGCCAGCGCTTGTCTGTTGTTGAGGAGTTCCCTGAAATCAAAGCGTATGCATCGCCCACGCTTCAACCTGATCTGCTCCCCAGCGTCAGCTAACCACAGATCGCGTAAGCACTCCGGAACCGGCATTTGGCACACCCAAGTTTGAGCTGACTCCGGGTCGAAGACAATGGCGCCAGCGGATGCTTTGCCCTCTTCATAAGCTCCATCTGTGAAGACCAACACCGGTTGCTTCTGATCCGCAACCTTGAACTCCCTGTCCGGGGTCACACTCAACAAATGCTTCGCCGTCCTGCAGAACGCCGTGATGTGGGCCCGATTGTCCGAGCATCTGGCCACGGAAGTGAGGGTCTTAGTCAAGAATCTGAGTCCCTTAGACAAGTAAAAGCCGGTCGCAGGTGTCCTTGCATGACTGACGCTTCGCCAGGTTTGAAGAAACCTCTGGCCTCCACTTGTGAAAGAAATTCGATTAACTTTGGCACCCTTCCCTCCGTACTCCTAATCTTGTAGCATCCTTGGCTGATGCATCCCAAGTCTACTTCGGCTCCTAAGGCATTAAACTTTTCGGAAAATTTTAAAGCCTTTTTACCGTCTCTGGCGTGAGACCACCCAAGCAAGGACAGAACAGACGATATCGCGCTCTTTAGGACACTCGATCCTGGTTCCGGCGTCATGGTGGGAAAGTCGTCGAAGAAGACCGCGCTGATTGCCGACAGGTACGCACAAGATATGGTGGATGGAGCGGGATATCCTTATGAAGGCGAAGACTGAAGCCGAAGCTCCGAACGGCAGTACTTCCGATCTGTAATATACCCAGTCACCATCAATCATAAACCCTAGCACACAAAACCTTCGGCTCTTGGGGCTCAAGCGTACTTGCTTATAAGCTCGGGAAAGGGCTAGGGTCCCACCCAACCAAACTTTCTTAGCTCCTGGGTGAACTTTCGACCCGTCTATCTCGCCATCTTGGGTGGCCTTTGCTATGGACGCTGCCGCTGCTGCCAAGACATCGATGTCCATCGGTTTCACGCCAAAGGTGCGTTGGAATGCAGCGTTCATCCCGGACATTTTGCAATCGTCAATGATCCTCACTTTCTTGCTTTCACCTTGGTAAATTGGGAATCTAGGGTTGAGTATCCATTCTTCCGATCCGAAGAAATTGGTGATCTGCTGCCCTGAGAACGGTCCTTGCAGGTCTCCAAGATCGACCTCTGCTTTGGACGTTTGATCCAGGTCACTTTGCTCGGAGCCGGAGTGCTCCTTTATTTGATGCTTCAGCAGTTTCCTCCTAAGAGGTGCCGACTCCAACAATTTCCGCTGGCCCCAGATCCTCATTCATGGCTTCCACTTTCCCATGGGAGCCAACTAGGTCTATCCCCGATGCTACAGAATCCACCATGTCTATGTCATCGTAGTTGGATGCCCTCAACAACGCCTTCCACAGGCAGAGGTTCTTGCCTCAGAATTTTTGCGACAGTTTGATCCAAATTCTTCTTCAGGTCTGCTTCCGCAGTCTCTAGGTCTTTCGCCATCTGTCTGATGGTCACGACCGCATCCAGGCGAGATTTTGCCAGGTCTTCTGGGCTAGAAGTTAAGACCGACTTGATCGCTGCCTTCAAGTTGGGTGGCAAGACTGCTGCAGGATCACAGGGATGGACTACTTTCTTAGCCTGATGCATAAACTCTAGCGGGTCCCATCTTATGCCAACCTTATAACCTGGACCGCCTGCTGCTTCTTCAGATGCATTCTTTTCTTGGTTGATTTCCCCAGTAGGAGAAGAAAGAATGCAATACTGGCCGGTGCAAGGTGGAGACTTGGGCAGTTGCACTATCGCGTGGACCTCTGGGACGAGGGGCGGCGGCTGCGCCTTCTTGCGTGGTCCGACTGCGAACGCATCTAGCACGGAGGACTGTGTTGGTGGGCTTGGCAGAGAATCAATCACACACTTGGCGTACTGCTGACAGAACTCGATGGGATACTCTGCCTCGGAGGCTGTGTCAAAGCGAAGCTCGCCCTCATCAGGGGTGATGCACCATGGGAGGTGGTTACGCTGACCAGAACACGTGAGGGCCATAGCCGAGAAGATTCCAGGGGAGGCGAGGAGTGTGGAGTGTTTCAGCCGCGTCCCACCAAGCATGCAGCCATCGTAGTGCACTGACTCAAGGTGACTTAATGCTGCAAGCACTCTTGGCTCCATCTCGCGCGCAAGGGCCCGCAGCGCAACCCATAGCCAAGATCTTCATGGGTTTTCAACGCTAACGCGAACTCCAGCATCAAGGAGGTCTGGAAGGAGGGAAAGCGCGAATCTGTAGAGCAGGTTTGCTGACCTGACGCGTTGAGCATTGGCACCTCTGAGGGTGGGTATGCCCAAAGGAAAGCGGGAGCTTCGAAGACGCATAGGTCGATGAAACTTGCCACGCAGGTGTCTTGGCAGAGCCCGCGCGCGCGCGGGAGCACGTCCCGCATGGCAAGCCCAAGCGCAGGGCTGCAAGTGATCTGGCTGACGAAACAAATTGGCGGCAGAGCGCCTGTTGAGCAGGGTCAGCGAGATCCATGCGGAGACAGGTGCGCAGCTCCTTGCGCTGATTTCCGGGGCGGTCAACGGCGTAAGTCTGAAAGTGATGAGCACGCATGACATGAGACAACCGCGCGCATCCTGCACAGATCTCGATGAAGACAGGCCGGCGTGGCTGGCTCTCGGCACAGGAACTTGCTGGGTCGGCACCGGCTGCTTGCGTTGCATGAGTTGATTCGGGGTCTGCGGGCGCCAAGGCCGAGGTCGGGCATTGGAGGGCGGCGACTTTGGCAACTGACGGGGCGGCTCGGGCAGAGGCGAAGGTTGACAAGGGTCTAGGGGTCCTAAGGGGAGCGGGAACCCGAGATCAGTCAAGAAGCAGGCATCTTCAGGACTAGGGGGGCAAACCTTAGAGGTAAAGGCAACCAAAACTGTGCGTCGGCCTGACCAAGGCGCGACCCAATGCTGGCGCTTGGCTGCTTGGAATGCAACTGGTCCTGCCGCAACTTCAAGTGAAAGGAGGTCCTGGGGCCTGCGGACGACAATGTTACCGCCTGAAAAGCGCGAGAGCGGCATAACGAGATTGTACGCATGTTCATCATTACGTTCGTCCACATGAGGGGGCGTACGCAGGTTATCAAAGATTGCAACTGAGTTAAATGAGAAGTCATTGGCAACGCTGCGGATCAAGGCCACAACGAGAGATGTGAATTGAGGATTGTCGTGTGTGGCACGACGGACATTAGCTGAGCTGTTGTTTGCAGTGGCACCTGCAAGCCAGCATGAGGCGCGCAAGAGATCAAATGACATTGAGCACGTCTTGAGGATTGGGCTTACCTGTGAGGCGCAAGTGTCGGGCCTTGGATTCCACGGAAGCCATCCGAGCAGCCAATTGCCCTGTCTCTAGACCTGAGCCTAGTCATTCAGCACGATTCGGACACGAGTGTCCCGGGTGATCCTGATGACACCACCAACACACGTGCCAGCCGTTGGAGCAGCGGGCTCCAAACGGAACAGTGGCCTTGCACTTTCCTACATTTGCTTTCACACAGACATATTTAGGTTTGGCAGGATCGCCGGATATTGATCTTGGCACCAGGTGGCGGCGTGAGACGCGTAGCCGGCTGCTCCTGCTTGGCTTTACCCTTGCTGGAGCCCTGGGAGGCTTGACCACCCTTGGATCCTTTGCCTTGCTTTCCAACGATTTGGCGCTCTCAGAGTGTGTTCGCTTCTTGCCACGGGCATTTGCATGAGCGGGATCGGGACGGGGCACGCCTTTAGGCAAGGGCAGGCAGTGGAACATAACCTCAGGATCATTGGCCAGGGCAGCGAAAACGGTGTCGCCAATCTTGGCCCCGGCGGCATCAAGCTGCTTGACCGTGCCACGTGTTTGCTCAGACAGCTTCAGCCAAAGGCTCGATCAGCTGCCAAAAGCTGGTCAAGCGAAAAGGCGGTGAATCCGGGCAAAGTAGGGCATGACATGCAATCAAACAGGGATTGGTTCAATTTCTCTTGCACATGGAAGCTGAGGATCTGGGCGGCGTCATAGGCCAGGGCACGTCTCTGAAACGCCATACGAAGTAGGTGCGCGGAAGATACGTCGCACGTCAGTTCAGGAGATTCCTGTGTAATGCGCAGGGATCCATCTGATCGAAATTTCAAGGACGCTTGTGACTTATCCTGGATGCATTCTTGGTATCTCGACGCACACTTATCAGGGGCCACATACGCAACGCAGAGGTCCTCACCCTGTTGGGTGATTTTGTCTATAAGCGCATGTGAAGGGCTGTTGTGAGCTGTAAATGTTATGCCAGACAAGCGCGTCTGTTGGTCACGGATTCTTTCTAGTTTTTCTTGCAAAGGCAGCACTTTGGGGGCTGAGTCGGTAGCGCGCTCTAGTTTATTCTTCAAGTCCTGTAACGCAAGCGCCTGCGCCTCAAATGCTAGGCGTCTCAGAATTGCCTTCACTGAATCAGTCAAGCGATCTTCCAGAATCTTCTGGAGATGAGCCATCAAGGACGCATCGTCAATCCCATTGCTGCCACGCGGTGTACAGAATGCCAATTGGGCAAGGGTGGCTATGCTTGCCGCACGCAGCGCGTCGTAGACACCATCTGCCATGTTCATTTCTTGGCATCGTGCCCTGAACGTTGCCTCAGAATCCATGGCTAGCAAACAGGCTGGGAACAGCGGACTCGAACCCGTGCTGCAGCGAAGGCATTTTCATTCAGATGCCCGCATGGGCTTGTGCGGAGTCAGGTCAAGTATGCAAGGGCGCATTGTTTTTGATGTCTGATCAACTGAGCTCACGACTCTGGCGCATCTTGGATGAAAGATGATTTGCCACACTGCACACAGAAACACGTGGTTTGCCTATCTAAAGCGCCGGCTGGCACTGTGGAATAGTTGCAGCTCAAAGGCCTGCCGCACGCTAGCTTGTCAAGCTCTGACCTAGCATATGGACGACACCAGATATGGCATGGACCTTCCATGTGTAACGTGTTGCATCCGAAGGCAAGGGAGCTCGCACTTGCAAGACAGGCTGCTCATCCTCAGGCTGGCTTGCGGAAGAAGGGTCCTCATCCTGGCAGTCATCTGCCACTGGAGCGTATTGGGCCAGTTTGCGCGCGGTGCGGCATCAGGGGTCTGCAGGCCTTTGGAAATGTCTTCGAGCATGTTCCAGACCTTGCCTTGCAAACGCCATGACGTCAAGGTCATATGTAGCGGCGGACTTCGTGGAGGCTTCGGTATAGTGGCCTAGTAGGGTCCTCTCCTCTCGAGAAAAACGAGGTGACATCCCCGCCCATGCCAGCAGGGTAGTCTTGAGGGAGTGTGCACGACAGCGTTCATGGTGAGGCATGGGCTTCGGCGGTGGACATAGGATGTTGGGACCATGTCTCGCGCCCCCAGTCATAGCCGGCAAACCGGAGTGGAGCCCCTCTTGCTCGCGTAACGCAAAGAGAACCGGCAGCCACGGGTCTTCGCCAGGCCAGTCTACAGCTGGGCTCACTCTTTTCTACGGACTCAAGGCGCCTGCGGTTTGATCACGTCAACTTGCATCGGTCAGACACAGCGCTCCAAGTTGGACGCACAAGCTTAGCATTTGGGGGAACAGCTCTGGAGTATGTCGTCATGCGTTCCACATCCAACAAGGGGCGTCTTCCAGAGCTCCTCTAATGCCGGTTTAGTAACGGCAAACTTGCAGGTCTTCATGACCCACCGCAACAGAGCACTATTCCCTAGCCTCTTTGTCAGAGCATCAGCAACCATGTACTCGCCGGGAAGCCAGAAGAGCTTGGTTCTTAGAACCTCCGTGCTCTTACTCATCACAGCCACGTCCAGCTGAGCTCGTCTGCAAAGCCCAGCAGCTCCGGATCGCCGGTGCCACAAGTCGTAGAGAGCCCTGGCATCCGTCACGGCCATGGCGTCCTCCTCGTCTTTCACTCGGACCACGGCAATGGTCTCGTCCTCTCCATACCTGGATCCATCGTTCACACAGTTGCCAGGGATGGCTATCTCGCAGTACAGGGCCTTCACCCATTCAAGTTCAGCCAGCCCATCATCAAGAGCCAAGGCCTCTGAACCAAGAGACGCCTTCACTGCTCGCCGCAGTCGATGCGATTTCCAGCTGTTGATGCTCAGGCGGCCCACTTTGCCATCCATGATCTCCTTATCCACGAACGCCAGCAAGAAGCCACCTTGGCTCTTATCTTTCTCGGCATTGCCCAAGGAAGCATCCGAAAAGACCATCCAGAGGCCACTCTCGAGCGGGATCGGGAGGATGCGGAGGCGGGTATCACTCGTACCCTTCAGTTCGGCAATTGCCTTGTTGATCCACTTGACGTTCTGAACCTTGGGCCCTTCCTTGGCGAATGACATGGCCATCGCGCAAGCTGCGCCCATGTCCGGCCGAGCTTCTCGCCCGATCCATAATAACGATTGGTCTCGTTATCATCCAAGGTTCGCCCTTCATCTTTGATCTTGTCCTTGTGGAACACGATCGGCCTCAACTTCTCCTGGATGTACCGCTCCATGGAGACCTGGATCTCAAAGTCCTCGTTCTGGTAGACGGTCCGGCCGAGGTACTCGCCGGATGACTTGTAGATCGACCTCCACTTCCCGAAACGGAACCTCGCTCGGAGACTCTCCATCAGCTGCTCGTGTCTGGGATTTCCTCCCTGGACAAAATCATCCACATCGAGGAGCACCAGGCCGGCGCACCCTCGCAGCAGTGGTGCACCTTCATCTTCCAGAAACGGAAGATAATACAAACAAGGGTCGAAAGTGGATTCCAGGTAGCCAAGTTCCGACAGCACCTTCCGCACCGTTCGGCGCCAAATGGCGGGCGCGTTGACGAGTCCATAAACGGCTGTAAGGATTCTGATCAGGCAGGTCTGCTCCATGCCGGGGATGCCGCTCGGCGGCATAGTCGCGAACAATGGTCCTTGTTCACGGGTGTGGTGGTCGGACTGACCAAAGGCAGAACTCACATCCATTATGATCATCTTATAGCGCAGGCTGCTCAGCAACTGGAAGGTGAGGTACACAGTCGGAGTTGCCGGAGTCGGCGCATATCTCTCCAGCTCCTGAGCGTCAGGGTCGCGATGGCCAAGCAGGATCCATCTTGCCTTGGCCTTCCAAGATTGGCCAACTTCCTGCTGCTTCTTGGTCAGGATAAACCTGGAAGGAACAATTCTCTGGGAGAACGTCTCCTTAATTAATCTTCCGGATCTCCTCGGGGTCCGTGACGAAGGAGATGGCGGACGACCCTTCCAAGTTCTGGATCTCGGTCAGCTTTGCCTCGGCAAACATTTTCTTCTCGATGTCGTTCAAGGTCCGTTCCTGGAGCTCCTTCCCTGACTTCTTGGTCAAGCAGATCCAGCCAGAGCGCAACTCCGAGTAGGTGGCAATGACCGGGTACTTCCTTTTGTCGCCCCATGGCGTCATCACATCGGCGACCCACATGCCTCCAATCTTTGACTTTGGTTGAGCATTGCCTTGGTGTCCAGATCCGTCGTGCACTCGCTTCAAGCCCTTGTCGAAGAGCCGCTTGTCCTCATCCACTGGCATCCCTTTTTGTTCGGTGTCGCTCACCGCCGTTCCAGGATCTGGATGTCCCGGCCTTGGCCTGTAGTACAGTATTGTCTCTAGATTGGCCGGTCCTGAAGGCAAAGTCCGTGACAGCTGCCGTGGTCGCTCGTCACCATCGAACTTCTCGTCGGCGATGACCTCGCCAGCCGAACGACATCGTTCCACATGGGCCCTTCGCTGCTCGATACCCTGAATCGGGTGGCCTGGTGGTCGTAGCGGACCCACTGCTTCAGCTCCAAGTTGGGTTTCCATTGTCCACGGCCTTCCCCCGAAGCCGTCGGTGGTGGTTCTTCAGGTGCTGTTGTTGGTCGTGGTGGGGCGGCAGTTGACGAAGTTGCAGGCTGAGAACGTGGTGGCATTGGTGGTGGCACTCGGGATGTTGGCTTCACGCTCGGTGCTCCCGGTGGTGGTTCCTGTGGTGGTTCTCGGGATGTTGGCTTGACGCTCGGTGCTCCCGCTGGTTGTTCATGTTGTGGTTCTTGGACCTCATCAGGTGAGTAGTCTCCCACATCAGAGGGCAGGTCGGCGATGTCGTCATTGTCTCGTGGTAGTCCATGATTTTCGGGTTGTCGTGGTCGCTCAGGTCGTTCGCGGTCTGACTCTTCGTGAGCCTCGTTCTCATCAGGCTGGTTCTCCTGCGTCACGTCAACGAAGCCAAGCTTTTCGTTATCAAACCTGAGCCGCTCTTTTGCCATCAGCAAGTCCCTTGGAATGACTTCCAATCCCTGGACCTCAAGTGGCCCCATAGCGAAGACTTGGGAAGCATCACACTTCCACAATTCTCCACGCCTTGTGACCCAGACTGTCGAGCCACGTTGAAGGACAACGAAACAGGGTCCAACTTTAGCAAGGGCACCGCGGCGGCCCTGCCGCAACACAACAACGGGTTGCCCCTCGGAGAAGACCTGGCCCTCTCTTTGACTCCGTGGTCTTGACCGATTGGCCCGCTGGAGACGCTCCTTGGCATCGAGTTCCATCAGCGCCTTCCTTGCAGCATCTCGGAGCTCCGATGCCCGGTTCCATGCTTTGTCCTGGGTCACCAACAACTCATAGCGCCGATCGTCGCTCGTGAGGTCCAGAGCTACTCGGGGCTGTCGGCCAAGTACCCGCTGCGCCGGGGTAAACCCCGACCTGTTGATGGTTGTTTGAAGAGCCCAGGCCGACTCGAAGATCAAGAGCTCCACCTCGTCCATGTCCCGGGGCTGGGCTATCTCCCTGCTCTTGTAGTACACCTTCTTGAAGAGATCACCTCTTCTTTCACACACGCCATTTTCCCACGGAGCCTCATGGTCACAGACAATCGGCTGGATGCACATTCTCTCGATGCCGCTCTGGAAGTCACTCCCTGTGAATTCAGTGCCCATGTCGTACATCAGGAAGTCGGGTGGCCCAAACGTTCTCACCCACAGTCTCTCGAAGGCTTTAAGCGTCAGCTTTGCCGAGCGGCGCAAAGGATCAATCATGCCGAAGGTCGAGTACAAGGCGCCAAGGCACGTCACATTCAACACCGGATGCTCGGTCTTGTTGCCCAGGCCGTGCACGAACAGCACGTCAATGCCGATGACCACGTTGAAGTCGTATGTCCGTGGGGTTGCCGACGGCAATCTCGAGGGTGGCCTTTGCTCAAGGTCACAGCCGGCACACTTGAACTCGCGCTGCACATATTGTATGATTTCTGCTCGACATCCAGCTGCCTTAAGAAGTCTGACAAACTCAGCTCGTCCAGGGTGGCCCAAGTTCACATGAGAACGTAGAACAGCTCGTTTCTCCTGTGTGGAGATGTCAGTCGTCTCGGCAAAGATGTCGTGGTCACCTTCCGGTCGTGGTCCGAGGCCCGACTGGTCCCATCCATAGTAAACCAAAACCGCCTCGGCGTCCATGATTCGGTTATCAAGCTTGCCTGTCTGAGTTCTCTCGGTCCATCGCCAGGCGTCACCACCACGAATGGCTGTCCATCGCAGGCTGCGACGCCCCGGTCCGACCTCGTGCAATGGAACTCGAAGTGGGTCTACGCAAAGCATGGTCAAGAAACCCTGCTCACACTCCCATTTGGCTCTCGACCCTGTCTTCCGGAGGGATCGACATCGGTCATTCAGATCCTCAGGTCCTGGAAGTTGCGGTGGCTTTTGGTGCCTTCTGGCCTGTCCGATACCTGACCGGTATTCTTGTGTCGTCTGGCCCTGGTGGTTGCGATGGTCTGCTGGTAGTCCAGGTAGTGCTGCTGAGTCATGGCCCTGGTGGTTGTGATGGTCTGCTGGTAATCCATGTAGTGCTGGTGAGTCTGGCCCTGCTCCTGCTGGTTCGCCCTCTTTCAGGAAGACATCCACCTGAAGTTCCGCATGTTCACGAAGGCAGGCGTCCCAGTAGAGCTCGTCGTCCTGGCCTCCACTCAGTTGGCTCAAGTTCGCCAGCAGTTCTTTCTTGGCATTCTTGTCCAGAGTGACCTCGATCGGGTCATGTCGCACGTCGTCCAACTCCTCCACGAAGTCGGCCTTAAACTCTTGCACCACAAACACAGTAACCTCTTCATCACCCAGGTCGTAGTCAACAGCATGCGTCTTTGCAATGTCCAGCACATTCACATCACCCTCGTCAACGTTAAAGATCACCCGCGCTGCTCGGGGTGACTTCGCCACCGCATTCTTGGTTCTGGACACAGTCCGGCCCGTAAAGGCCCAAACATAGCTGTTGGCCGGCTTGACCAGGGTAGCCAGCATCTCCAAGCTCTCGAAGGACAGGCCGATCTCATCTGCGGTGCGCTCCTCCTCCAGGCCGCCTATTGGCTCCCAAGTGCCATCCATTGGTGCGTCCTGTCCGGGTTGTATCCGAAAGCTGGCCATCACACCATTTTACTCGGACATCAAGGTCTGGTCGTGACAGCTCGGGCACTTCCACGCCCACCGGTCTCGAAGCTGGTGTGGCTTCAGGGCCTCGGCCTGGCACTGAAAGCAGAGCTTCACCTCGAACGCTGCAATCACCGAGTTCAGCTCGCTTGTCCGTCCACACAAACTCGCAGTCCGGGTCGCCCCTCTGACATATCCAGAGGTATCGCTGCCTCTCCTCGTGCCAGTTCAGCACCAGCTCTTTGTCTGAACATCTCGCGCAGCTCCTCGTCGGTGCCGCCCCTGGCATCAGAAGATTCAGCGCATCTTCCATCATCTCTTTGTCGTGCTCCCAATCCCCAACCGATGTCGGTGGAGGGTCCGGTGTGCCAATCTCGTACTCTTGCTGGTCCACCTCCATCGCCGCATCTCGGCCGAGACGAGGGGGATGTAGTGGCGGCTCCACCGCCATGGTTGGGAGCATCGGTCCTTCCGAGCGCTGGCGCTCGCCTTTGCCATACTCGCCGCTGCTGCTCTTGCCGTTAATCGTGCCGACAGGTGTTCTCCAAACGTCGGGGTTGAGCTCGGTCGCGCCGGGCTGATAGTCCCCGCCCGGGCAGTAGCCGCCGATGGTGGCGCGGTCGTCGTCGGTGGTGGGGGCGCAGTCGGCGTTGTCGAGCTCGTCGCGGTAGTCGTCCCAGCCTTCTTGGCCTCCTTGGCCTGCTTCTTGGCTTGTGGCGTGACATAGGTGGGCTTCTGGTAGACCAGGACGGTGTTCCACTCTGTCACGCGGTCCGGCGTCAGCTTGGGGATCTGCTCGATACTTCGTCCAGCTCCAGTCTCTGGGGTGAGCGCAGGTCGGAGACTGCCGCAACACCGGTGCCAAGTACTGACTTCGCCCAAGGTGCTGGGTCAACGGTCGAAGCTGGCCCGTCTCGTCGAGGACGTTGGTGTTCAGCGTTGGCACCTTCCCAGTGGCACTCTTGCGCGAAGACTCCATCAGCTCTGCCTCCTTCTGCTGCATCTCCAGAACTTGTCATTCCAGGCGTTCGCGCCTTGCGGCCAGGCGACGGACGTCGCGGAGCTGAGGTTGCTGGGCCACAATCATCAGAGCATTGGCTGCTTGAGTCCACACCACCCAGCGCAAGCGCAAGAAGAAGCGCCTCCAGCGGCACACGCATGTCGAAGGCATTGGCGATTCGAATTGGATTCGGGAGAGGTTGGTCAGACCAAACTTGAGACCTCCCAAAGCTGGCGGCATCTGGCATAGAAAACCCTTTGCCGTACTCAGTGATGCAGACTTCAACATGCCCTGCGTTCCGCCTATACATTTGTTGTGTCACTCCAAGCGTGGTGTGGAATAGGGTCAAGCCTACCATGTCAATGATGCTGCCCATGTCTGTCAAGAGGTATGCTGGTATCAAACATGGCACTGGTCCAGGAACGATCTGCACTCGCAAGAGGCCCGAACAGCCGCCAATCCCGATGGGAACATAGGCGATTGGAGTACGCTCCTCTGCCCCACACACACCACGAACCGTGCCCCCATCCTCGCCCGAATGCCGGACCTTCATGCCAAAGTTGGTCAAGAGGTGTTGGTCCAATTTTTCTAAGGTTTCCCGACCAATCAACCCATGTTGCGCCGCCGTATCCACCAAAGCTCGGCCTGGTGCTTCCAAAGAAGTGGCGAAGGTGTAAGACAAGAAGTCATGACATTTCAGGGGCACAGGCGGCAGTTGGCTTGCAACAAAGTAAGTGGAACTAACGTCACTCCCGTGCATGTATTGCAGCTGCTTCTGGTCTGGCTTCTCTGCAATCATGGACATAAATCCGGCTGTGTTTGCCAAAGGCGGCTCAGCAAAGAACATGGCAGTTGTCGGCTTCCCCTGGTTCCCGCTTGGCGGGCCGGAGCTGCCTGTGCTCCTGGGCTGTTCTCGCTGCCGGTTCCGAAGTGGGCAGCGCCGGCTCCAGTGGCCGATCTGCTTGCAGGTGTGGCAGCGGCTTTTGGCCATCAAGTCGTTGACTGACATACGGGGCCGTCGGTCGAAGCCCGAAAGTTCCAGGCGTGCTCTTGGATCCAAAGCCCTTGTAGCCCTTTCCTTTTCCAGGCGGCTTGCCCTTTCCTTTGCCACGCTTGCTCTTGCCTTTGCCCTTGCCCTTCAGTCGGTCCCGGGCCTCGTACATGGTCCATGCCAGGTAGTCGCCCATGAACTCGATGGCTTCCGCCTCATCAGGTCCTCGAAGATCCCACCGTCTGGCTCATGGCCGTCAAGGTCTTGCCAGTAGCTGTCGTCCTCGCCGTAGCCATCTCTGTCTTGCCAAGAGATCTTGCTCCTTGCTCCTGGCTCGGATGGCACGCTCCACCTTAGGGAAGTCGATGGAGCCATCGGTGAGGACCTTGATCCGCTGCCGCTGGTCCTCGCTAAAGTTGCCCTGAGCCTCTGTCCCGAGAAGGTCCAGGCCTTGTCTCTTGAGCTCCCCAAAGGCTGCCTTCTTGGTGGCCACGAAGCCGCTGAGGGACTGGTCTTGCCGCCGCCTACCCTTAAAGATTGCCTGGTCAAAGGCCTGCTCCAGCTTGGCATCTCGAAGGTAGTCGTGGGCATCCTCGATCAGAGACACGATCTTCTCGAAGCCAGTGTCCTCGATCTCGTCCACAGTCAGGCGGGCCAAGACGGCTGCCAGCCGGCTGCCATAAGGAACGGCATCGATGATCCTCTTGCCGATAAGGTTTCCAGGAAGGCGCTCCCGGGCTTCTATCAGCCAAAGCTTCAGATTTCTGGCATACTCTTTGTACTTCACCTCCGGCTGCTCGCCGTCCCAACTCGGAGCGGCCTCCATCTTGTAGTCCACGTAGCGCCGTCCACTTCCACTTTCTTGCCCTGGCTCGGTCACTTCCTGACCTCTGGTCGGTGCTCCGCCTCGCCTTGGAAGAACAGGCGACTCAGCCCCTCTCATAAAGGGAGGGTCCTCCACACTCCGCGTCGGAGTCCCCATGACTCTCGCGGATCCAAAACTTGGCTACCACGTAACCAGACACAGCGCAGTCTACAGCTGGGCTCACTCTTTGCTACGGACTCAAGGCGCCTGCGGTTTGATCACGTCAACTTGCATCGGTCAGACACAGCGCTCCAAGTTGGATGCACAAGCTTAGCATTTGGGGGAACAGCTCTGGAGTATGTTGTCATGCGTTCCACACCCCGAGACCAAGCAACTCCACTTGGGCCTCCGCAGAACGAGCCAACTTATGGTCGGTGGAGCCTACCTCAAAGATCACCACGGACTTATACTCATCCAAGGAAAACTGCTGCATGTGCCTGAAGTCACCCCAGCGAGCTACTCCGAAGATTCCCAAAAAACAAGTGTCCCGCGATGAGACGAACATGCTTAGGAATCGCTTGATTAAGGACCAGCGAAATCAAGTGCTTAATTGCCGCAACGGTGAGTGGAGGTGCAGGTTTGCGCGGGGGCTTCCGAAGATACATGTCATGTGCTACACCCTTCACTCGCTTGGAGTCGAGGGTGTCTAGGGGGGTCACAAGACCAAACGTTACAGCACTGAAGCGGAAGGCTGAAAGGAAGGTACTGCCGCTCGTGGCTCCGGCCTTATTCTTACGGAGGTGGCAGAGATATTGGTACATGCTGTCTTCGTCTGCAAGAAATGGCGAGGCAATCCCTCGTGGCTGCAGAAATGCCGCAAATCGCCAGAGGGCGCTGGCATGTTTGGCCAGAGTGCCTGTTCTCGAAGTCGCAGGAGTGTCAGCCATGATTTCCAAACTTTTGCCCGGGGCCAAGAGATTCCGGGCCGACTTGACGATCTGCCGCCCCGCAGCCGTAGCTTCTGGGTCTGCAAGGACTAATGTGTGGAACACCCTGATAGCCTTGGCCCTTTCGTCCTGGTCGTCAAGCCTCGAAAACTGGGCATGAATGGCTGGCACGCTAGGGACCTTAGGTACCGGTGGGAGAAGGGGGGAGGAGGAATGGCGGGCTCCGGCACGCGGAGCAAGGCACTAAACCGTACTCTAGGGTAACCGGGAATCACCCAAAGTGTTCGAAATCATGGCCAATTGA